TCGAGAAGGCATGCTCCGGTGGCCATTTGGAGGTCGTCAAGTTCCTCTTGGCCAACAAAACCGAAGAAAAGATGTCCTACTACACGGTTCGAAACGCGTTCAAGCACGGGCATCTCGCGACGGCCAAGTACCTCCTCTCGCGTGGGTACGAGTGCGTGACCGCCAAGATGCATTGGGACCCAAGTGCTTTCCGCAAGCCAGAGATCGTCCAGGTCCTACAACTCTTTCTCGACATTGGCGGCTCCCGCGACGCCATGTGGATGCGAGAAGCCTGCGCCACCAACAACGTGCCGCTCGCTCGCTTTCTTCACGAGCTCGCAGGCGATCTCTGCCATCCCCTGGCGCTCACAGAAGCCATTGCGCACGAGGCGTGGGACGTGGCGCACTACCTCCTGGCCCACTCGACGGCAAAAGTCCCAATCGATGCGCTCAAGGAGGCGCTGAGCAGTGGTCAATTTGATATCGCGACGCAAATTCTGCGCCGTCAACCAAAGTTTAGCAAGGACGTCGACCTTCTCGAATGGTCGTCGACCAACCACTACACGGAAGCGACGCGCTACCTCCTCGCTGCCGGCATTGGCAACCCGCGCGAGTGCCTTCTCAAGACTGCAGGTCGTCGACAGCACGTGACTGCAAGCAAGCTCTTGCTGCCGCACTGCATGCACGCAGTCAAGTATCTTGACAACATCAGCTTTCTTTTGGACCTGCTCGGGCTGTCGAGCCGCCGCCGCAAGACAACGCTGCAGCTGATCACGCCCGAGCTACTGGACCAAGGGCGAAAGGCCAATCAGACGGTTCAACTCCCACCCAATGTGGCAGTCCGTGCATCGACTCTACAGGAGGCTGGTCACGTTGTCGACTGGTCGTTGGCTCTTGTGATCAGCCACCTCCATGCAACTGACGCCACAATCACCACCAAACAACTCGAAACAAAAGCGGCATTGGTTGAGGACGCTGAGCTCAAGGCGCTGCTCGATCGCCTCCTCGTCAGCAAACGCAAGCGCTGAGCAAGCGATGTGGCTTTTCCATTCACTAAAAGAACTTGACCGTCATGCATGCATAAAACGTTGCCCTGTCTCGCCCCTCTTGCTCACTGATCCATAGCCGGGCCAGCGGTATCGCAGGGTGCCGTCAGTACGCGACCGAGGGCAAGCTCCTGTTGGAGTACTGCCTTTATGGGACCGACCATCTCGGCAACATGCTCTTTCTGTTGGACCTGCTCGCGCTGCCCGACCGCCGTCGCAAGACGACGCTCCAGTTGACCACGCCTGAGCTTTTTTACAAACTAGCAGCTGGGCTAGTAAAGCACTCGGTAGAGAGAAAGAGGAAGAAGAGGAAGAGCCGCCCACCCGATGAGGAGTGTGTCCGAGAGGCAGGAAGTGGAAGTGAGGAAGCAAGGACAGCTGGCGAGCGAGACGATTCAGCTCGCACTGAGCGTGGCGGCGCGTGCTTGGCCTCTTTCGGAGTCGCGGGAGGTTGTCGAGTGGGCGCTTGGCATTTGCTACTCCACGACGAGCGACGAGCTGGGCAGCGCAAAGGAGCTACCGACTTGGACAAGTTTGGTCCACGACGTCGAACTCAAGGCGCTCTTGCTCGAGCAAACGCAAGCGCGAAGCTAGTGAAGGAATCGCAGAGCAAGACAAATCTAGGGTGTTGGAGTATGAGTGGTGTTGCCCTCGCAAGAAACGATGGACGTTTGTGTATCTATCTATCTATCTATCTATCTATCTATCTATCTCCTTTCCATTTGCAGCGCGTCAAATCCGGATAGCAAAATCTGGTGAAGCGCCGCGTCCAGATTCGGTGCCATTTATACACACGCAAAGGCTTGTTTCGCCAAATTTGTACGATGGCAACAACCTTTACCAGCGCCGTCCTCGGCCAGCCCGATATCGCCGCCATCGTCTTTGCGTTTCAGTTTGGACTCTACGAAGACGTGCGCCCGGCCTTCGATGCGTGCAATGAGTTGGTCGAGTTTAACGCTGGCCAACGCAGCTACGAGTGCGACGCGTCGTTTGGCCAAGCGTTTGCGCCTCCCGTCGAGTGCCCTTGGCGTCTTGTGGGCCCGGTTCCCTCGTCGGTGTACGCTCTAAGCGCTCGATACCGAGACGACCGCCTTCCGCTGCACATGGCGATTTACCAGGGTTTGTTGCCACTCACCAAGCGCATACTTCACTGCCGACCGGACCTCGCCTCGGAAGACGCCATCCTCTTGGCCTTTCTGAGAAATTACCTTGACATTGTCGAGTTCCTGCTGAACGAGCGAGCGACCATGCCCGAGCTCTCTCGACGTGTCAACTTCAAGATTTCATCGAACCGTTCTGGGGGTACGTTGACTCGAAGGCTCACGAATGACGCATGACACGACATGTAGGGCACTCGATCCGGCGCTTCCCAGGTCCGTTTCTCGATACGCTCTTGGCGCGCGATGACACTAAAGGCGTGGCATTGCTGCAGCGCTTTGGCCCGAGCTCCGACGACTTTCCCGGTCCCCAAAACCTCTACGTCGACTACAC